CAAAAAACAATATTTTAATTGAACGACAGACACTGAGTATTTCATCTTTAATTTTTACAAGTCCTACAATGATAATGTACAAGTCTCTAAAAGTCTTCTTTAAGAGTAACTATAAATTATTTTGACTCTGCATTTGTCGTATACACGTGAGCTTTGCTATGTTTTAACTGTGCAAACAATGATTTTCTTTATAAAAATAAAAGGTGGCGTGATAGAACCATAAAATAACCTAAATAGATGAAACCTATGTGAAATAGTTTCTTAAGTAACACACAAAATATTAGTAGAACTCATAAAAGACATAAAAGAATAGATTCTAGGGTAAGTATTTATATATATATATATATATATATATATATATATATATATATATGAATCTGATAAAATGTTTACGCACACTGATCGATAGTCATATTGAATTAACTTTAATAAACATGACTCATACTTAATGAGACATTTTGGTGAGTGATTTTGCCTAATCTATTTTCTATCCTGTAATATAGAGGATTTTTATCATGGATAAGATTTTATTTTAATAAATCACACAGTGTTGTAAAGTTAAATTAGCTGTACAACACTGTGTGATTTATTAAAATAAAATCTTATCCATTATGGAGTTATACTCTACCACAGTGCCCAAGTTTTATACTTATATCGAGGATTTTTAGTTTGGTCATTTGCAATTAAATGTGTTCTCTGAGCTGGTTGGTTTAGTTGCTCAGAGAAACACATTTAATTGCAAATCATCCACCTGAGCTACATATCTTCTCTATTATTTCAGTTTGGTTATTTCTTCAGATTGTTTTACATTATCAACTGTCTTGTTGTCTGACAATTAAGCATCAATTTTCAAAAGTAATGATATTTCGAAACCTTGAAAAATGTTCATTTAACAGTACATTATATTTTCATTGGCGTTACGTATAATATTCCTAATATACCAGGGTCTAACCCATACCACCTGTTAGTGCAACCAACCAAACTAACATTCATCAACAATTGCTCAGAAGAAGGCTGCACACCTGCCTAACCTTCTGCTGATGCATTTCTCTGATGTGTTCTACACTAATCTTTTCATCCATATGTATTAATCTGAACTAATAGCCTATTGTATTACGCCCTAATTTGTATCTTCCAACTACTGAATGAAAAAAAAGAAACGCAAATTTACGCCTTCAATTTATACGAAAAAATAGTAGAAACACTGAGATCATGTTGATTTAACTAAAATCTCAGTGTGATTAGTCATTATTAGACAGACACAGCTTATGATGAAGAATACGAATAGATTGATAGATAGATAAATCTACAAATACTATTTATTATAATTGTCTACAAACCGAAATCCTTACTTTTTGTTGTCAAAAAATTCATCAATCACTTCATTTTTTAAATGCATATGTTAATTGTTTGAGTACAAAATTATTTGTGAATATTTCATGTCTCTTTCTTTCATCAATTAGACTAAGACAGATATACCGTTTCAGTCATATGATACAGTGCCATTTACATATATATGTATACGACTTGATTTAAATGCGTAAAACGTATCTGTGATTTCTGTAGCATAAAACATTATAATACTTTTTTTTATGGCAGTAATTATTCGATATGGTAGTTTACGTATATATATGAGAAGTATAGTCATGTGCATTAATTGTTCACTGAAGAGATTAAGTTGCTAGTGTCAGTTTCACACTAACCAATGTAGCTTAAGATAATAATTAGTAGGCTGGGGTGGGGGTGGGGGTAACTTACCTGCAAATACTTAAAGCCAGAAAAATACTTTATTATTTAGCTTAGCGGTGTTTTAGTAGGATCTGAGCCTTAAGGAAGAACTTCCAGATGGTTTATCAGCACTCTTGAACTATTTCAGTTAGTTGTTGTTAATTCGTGACATAAATAGTCACTTTGTATTAACTCCTGTCATCGTGGTACTTGAAGTCATAAATTTTTATGTATCAACATATTGATAAATATTACAGCCATAGCTACTTGATCATTGAGAAATGAGTAAAATTTGTCCTTAAGTTAACGCTACAATGTGATTAGAATTAAAATGAAGTTTATAATCACTTATATGAAATAGTATACCGCCTAATATTCTACATCTGTAAACTGCCCGAGTTCTACTCATCAAGGTATGATGTGTGACTGTTACTTCTAAGGTGTAGTTTGTACTGTTGTCATGCTTAATGTTTGCTACCTCAAATCTAATGAACATAAAACCAATCAGTTATGCCTTCAGCTGCGTAGTGCTGAAGTCTGTCACTGTATTGATACATTTGAATATATGACGGTGAATCGTACGGGGATATGCCAGCTGAGCATGGAATTTACTGCCTGGAAGTGTTTAGACATCAAATGGCATCAAATGTTTTTCCCTAAATCATGTTACTTTCTCGAAAGATATTTCGTTTAACTTTCTGCGTAAGGAGGTTGAAACAAACTCTATTTTTACGGTTGTATTCTACCTATACTCCCTTATTACTCCGCCTTAATCTTTCCTGAGATACCTAAGAAAGACTTTGTTACAGTGTCAAGGGCACTAAACGTTGTTGGTAGAGTGATTGGGGTGTTGTTACACCAATTCGTTAAAACTGTTGTGAATAGACAGTTGAACTCACGCAAGGAATTGGTGAATATCATTTTGTCAGACTCTGAGCACCCTCTTTAAACACAATAATTCTCTTCTTGCATTTCATTAGGTAGGACCAGAAGCAGCTGTAAGAGATTTTATGCGTAGATATCTAAGCATAGAAACTCTATGATACCTAATTTGGCACACCTTTTATTTAATGAAGAAAGCTTTAGGTATAAAACTACTAACTTACCGAGAGACACTAAGTAAAATGTCCATCTTTATTCTTTCAATCATCAGTATATTGTCAATATTTCTATTAACTCTTTATCTTGCATTCATATTCTTTATTGACATTGTTATCAATGTAAATGCCCTGTTAGTTATTCTCCTCCCATACCATGTAAATGTAAAAAGAAAATTCGATTCAGTATTGTAGTATATGCTGAAAACTCTACATTTTATCAAACGTACTTTTTCGACTAAAGTCGTTATTATTATTATTTATTACTAGTGGGTGATTGACAGACTTTGATGAACTCATAACATTTGAAAGTTATATTAAAATGTTTTACTATGACTTTGTTATTGACAGTTTTATTGGTCATGTTTCGGTGTGTTAAGAACAAACGGACAGTGGATGTTGTATTTATTATTATTATATTATTATTATTGTTCCCTTGGGTTCCTAGTGGAACATAGGGCTTCAAATGCACGTCTCCACTTGCTTCTGTCTTCTGCTGTACTTTTCACCTGCATCCATGTTAGTCCATACTGTTTCAACTCCTCTTCACACGATCTCCTCCATGTCACCCTTGCACTGACGTCCCACTCGCCGCTTCCCTTTCGGGTTCCACTCGAGCGTTGGCCTGACGCGCGATGTCACCCAGCGGCCTCCTCAGCTCAGCGAGTGTCCAATCCATCTCCACTTTCTCCTGCATATTTGTTGAGCGATCGGTTCTTGTTTTGTTTGTTCCCATAGTTTCCTGTTGGTGATTCTTTCCGGCCATCTGATCTTGAGAATGGAACGAAGACAGTTGTTGATAAAGGTCTGCAACAGGCTGTTGGAAATATTCTTTGTGACCCGCTGGCCAAGTTTCTGATCCGTATAGAAGAAGTGACTGACTTGACGTTTGTATTGAAAATCCGAATTTCGTTGTTGATGCAGGCTGAGTGACGAAGATTTCCAGATTGGTTTCAGGTTGTATTTAACATGATTCAAAGTCATTTTCCATGATACATGTATGTGTATCGACTCTTCATGGTCTTTGAAGCTTTGAATATTTTCGGTAGTCATCATTACATCGTTATTTCGGCTTCCAAACTCATAATTGTCACGGTAGTGGTACATACTGTTTATGTTTCTTTCTTAACTTTTTATGATATTGTAAAGTATCTCAACACCAAATGAATAACTTTTGTGCAGAATTCTCTGTTGGTCTGTCTGCTTGATTTATCATTATTCACAGCTCATAGAATAAAACTTATTTATCACTGCATTTGTTTCAGTTCTCAAATATCAGAACTGAATAACTTGTTCCGAATATTTAAAGGGATCTAACGTGGCAAGTCAATTTCATGCAATCATGACACACTTACTCAAGAGTATGACGCATTAAAATACAAATATCTACAAATAATTATAAGGATTTAATTTTATTTAAACTTGATTACATACTTTCACTGTAAATTAGTATAGTGTAGAATCCTCATTTTTGGCGTTTTCCTATCTTATCGACCGGTATATATATATATTTTTCGAGCTTGACTACGGATGGATATCAGTTAGGGAACCATGGAAACCAGGGAGTACTGGACAACTGTTTCGTCCTAGTTTGGGACTCTTCATCGGTACGCATCCATTGGGGTTCAAACCCAGGACCTTCCGGTTACAAGACAAGCTCGTATATCATTCAGCCACTGGGACCCGATTCAATGGCCCATGAATTCTAACCTCTATCAGTCCGTGGTCAAACTAGGAAAGCAAATCAAATCCTTACAAATCAACTCTTGAAATATATATATATATATATATATATATATGGATATAATTTTAATACTTAACGTTCAGGTTTAAATGTAGTATCTGTCTATTCGAATACTTTCTGCCATCTAATACTGACTCCTTGTTATGTTGAGTACATTCGGCAGATTAAAATATTATCCAAAAAGAATTGATTCATTGTGTTGTGTTTTCACATAGTAATTGCGTGGAAAAAAATTTATTTATTCTAATTCAGTTATTTCATTTAAAAATTGTCCCAGAGTTCATCTGTTCTAAGAATTTGTTATTAATAAATCCTACATTACATCATATAACAATATATGATCGAATTATGCATCATAAAAAAAATTCATCGTTAAACTGAAAACAATGAAAAACAATTTTTTTGTTTTTGTGAATAATATTTATTCTTAGGTCATGTGAACAATTTGTATAATACGTGTTATTGGAAACTCGTTCAAATTGCTGGTCTAACTGGAACAGAAGCTGAAGAACGTTTAAGGGTAAGATATTCATCTCTTTTTTTTCGAAAACTAATTTGAATGAATAATGAATCTTTGTTGTATTTCAGGAAGTGTTTAGAAAAAAAATATTTAAATATATATTTATCCAGTGACAGTAGAGTTGTAACAACAGAAGACAAGGGCCAGGCGACAGATCGTTTATTAAGGAAAATCAACACATATTTATAGCATGGAGGATTTCATCATGAGCTGACATCAGTTAGAGAACCACTGGAAAACTGGGAGTACTGGACAGCTGTTTCGTCCTAGTTTGGGACTCTTCAGCAGTACGCGCTCACCGGGATTCGAACCCAGGACCTTCTGGTTACAAGGCGAGCTCGTAGACCATTGAGCCACTGGGACCCGATCCAATGGTCCTTGAATTCTAACTTCTGCCAATTCACGACATAGCGTGACCATTTCGCAATGTGGAATTTGAAACAAGCAACAAAGGTTAATAAAGCAAGATATAATGAGTTCATCAAATTTTGGTAGAACTCTTCAGCTGAACACTCTATACACGGGGATATATATATATATACATTGGGAGATATGACTGATAAGCAAATAAACTACATTCAATTAATCATGCAGAACAATACGTGCGAATGTTTTCCAGGTCATTTTCAAACAGATAAGGGGAAGGGAGTATGAGAGATTAAAATTAAGATTAAATGCATTACGATTCAGTTACATTACTTGGATAAATAATTGATCATCAGAGAATATATCAAGAATTGCAAACAGTGTAATGTCAATAACAATAGTAATAATGCTGAAGTGAGTTAAGATAAGGCTACTGATAAGAGATAGTTTGAAATGAATCAAGAATAATAATAATAAGAGGTAGAATAAAGTGTTGTTAATATTAATAATAACAGTTAATAAATAACACGTATTACCATGGTAGATTCAGAGTGACGACCATCTCCTTTTGTACACAGAGACCTGGTTTATAAACTCGAATTGCACAAGTCTTTACAATTGCAAGCATCTTCCTGCTTCTTTGTCTGCTGAAAATAGTGAATCACTTGACAGAGTCGATATCATGTCCAAAGTCCAAAAGATGCTTTGTTATTCAAGTTTTAGGCAGTTTGCATTCAAATGTTTTCAACCACTTTGGCAAATGCTCCATCATGCGAGTAGGCAATCGCATTTCTGTATGACCTATGTATTTGCTTCCAAAAACATACTCGAATTGATATACGCAGTTTGAAGTGTCGAAGATTGGAGACTGATCATCCCCAGATTGGTTAGGCACTTGCTTGGTTGTGTTAAGGAAGACAAGTTTTGAGGCATAATAAGTTCTCTTGATAACTTAATGGAGTCTTCGTTTGACTACTTCTTGTACATCATTTCCTTTGAATGGCAAATTGATATAGACAGATTTCTTCGGAAGTGTTTCGATAGTTTTGCAGGGGCTCATTTCTTTAGAGTATTTATTAATATTAAATATCCTTCAGAGCCTTTATTTTATGCTCAACTGTGCTGTCAGAACAAATTTTCCTTGCTCTATTGTGGAATTATATGCTGCCATAGCTCCTTAACTCTACTCTTACATACTTTTTATACAAGTCAACTTGACGAGTGAGGGATGCTTGATCAGTTCGTGGATGCTATAAATTTCATAATTAAACAGAAATTACTTCTAATTTGTGTTACCCTATCCTCATATCGGTGTTTGTTATTTGATATAACCATAGAAAATAATTTTCAATTGTTTTTATATAGTTCCCAGTAAATTATAACCGCGACATCGAACAAAATCAGTATTCTCTCTTTCATTTTAACTTCAGTTATTCATTACAAAAATCAAAAGCTTTAGCATTAAATTATTCTAATCGATGGTTGACCGCTTGAGGTGAAAATATGAATGGTTACGGGATTTCATCATCAGCTGACATTGGTTAGAGAACCATTGGAAAACCAGCTGGGAGTACTGGACAGCTGTTTCGTCCTAGTTTGGGACCAGTAGAGTACAGCAGGTCGGGTGTGAGGACAAATACTCGCCGAAGACATCGGCTAACGGTTGCGCTATATCGTGAATTGGCAGAAGTTAGAATTCATGAGCCATTGGATCGGCTCCCAGTGGCTTAATGGTACGCGAGCTCTCCTTGTAACCAGAAAGTCCTGGGTTCGAACCCGGTGGATGCGTACTGCTGAAGAGTTCCAAACTAGGACGATACAGCTGTCCATTACTCCTAGGTTTTCCAATGGTTTTCTAACCAATGTCAGCTCATGATGAAATCCCGGTCACACGCGGCCTGTTCCTGTAACCAGTCAACCAAATCCCTACAAACCAATACTTGAAAAATGTGAATCTTAGGTTCTAGGTTAATCTTTTCCCTCAACAAACCATAGTCTTGAGTAAATGTTAAACATTATAAACTTTAAGATATACAGACACCTTCTTAATGCCTGTAAACATTTAATACTATAAAAGAGTGACAGTATCCTGTCACTGAATTTATTACTCACAGAAACCTCGACGGAAAAACTTATATCACTTAAAACCTGAAGGATAACTTGGTACATATCTATTAACGTATTTCTGTATTTTCCTATCTTTTAACTACATGTATACAAATATCGATTACACTCTGATAAGGCCAAAATAAAGACTTATTTTTCATTGTATTTAATGTTGTTGTGAATGCAGCGACCTCGGATTCTTTCTGGGGATAAATTTGATCTACTGTGCACTTTGACTTCCTATGTTATTCTCCTTTCATGATGAAAATTATTGCTTGTTTTAGTCAATAATTTCAGTTAACTGTAGAACGATGTGTTTTTTGCTCAAATCTTGTGATTTGTATAAAATGAAGGGTCAATGTTATCTCATTATAATTGCATATTATTGTTACTATCTTTACGTTAGAGTTAGTGACTTAATAAAATCAATTCTCTTATCTTAGATTGTAATGTAGAATGCAAATGTGTGGAGCGGTGACTCAATGGTTCGTGTGCTCGGCTTTTACACTCTAAGCCATGAGTCCGAACCTCCTTCCATCCACCTGTGTTTGGGCAACCAGGTAGTGTCCTCAGTCCTAACACGATCGGTATGGCTCACCGCCAATTGCATCGAAATACAGATGATTGTTGGGTGACATTTTTCGTTTAATTAGAATAAAGGTGTTATATTCGAGGTATTTTTACCAACAACAGTTGTTGTGCTGTGATGTGGAAAGCAAATTAGTTGATTCAGTTGTCAGGCTTCCGTAACTGAGTTGCTGGATTGCCATGTATCGAAATCCTACGTTTTCTCCCTATCCTAGTAGTCAGTACTAGCTGGAGAAAAATTCCGTCAGTGAAAAGGTAGACCAAGGTATTATATAACGTGATGAATTTACAGATATTGGAATGATTTCATCAACAGTGAGAGAGGTGGACATCAGTAACGACTTCACATGTCTTACTTCTTTGTTTGAAAGTCTTCAACAGTGTACATCTGTGTTTCTGTGAAGAATCGCATCCAGAATTGTCATCTTCCAATGTGGACACTCTACTATTCAATCATTGTGTCTCATATTCCGAATATGCAAGATAAACGAAACAAATGGTTGAAGTAATCAGATGAGCTTTTTACGGAACAGGCCATTAGTCTCTAGGTGTACCACTGTCTTATTTCTATTCATAAATTATCAACTTAATTATCGCTCACCTTTACGAATATTTTATGAAGTCACTGATTTGGTTCGTAGTTTGGCTAATCTTTCCTTTCCTTACATTCACATTAGCGTACAATATAGAACTGTTCTCACTTTCTCATTGCCTAATTCTTTCTACTTCTCTAGGATAAGTGTCAAAGTCATTCTCTGAAATGGAAAGATAACGTGATGCATAGTCCACTAGCAAATCTGTTGTGTTTCTTTTTTGTCGATTACACTTTGTTGTGTAATTTTATTGAAAATCGATTGTTATTTTCAATCCCTTGCCTACACTTTTTCACAGTTTAATCTAGTCAATGTGATTTCAAAGTCTATGACTAGAACTCAAAGAGAATAATTTAGTTTCTAACATTTTTCTCAGCTGGAAATTAGATTCTTCAAAAGTACACTGTCCTTTCAAAATCAAAACACAAAGCAAGAGAACTAGTGTTTTCTATTATTCTAACTACACTTAAAACTATGCTGGATATTTCATCGCTATCCACTTTTTGCAGAAGTGTATCTTGTAGTTTTGTTAATAGAATTTTTTTTGTATAAATACTAAAACGTTGATCGATATTCACTAGTTTACATCACTTTTCTATGTGTACAAAAAAACACCCATTAGTGTATTAAAAATAGAAAACCAACTAGAAGAGTCTTTTTTTCTGTGAGTTTATTCACTTAGCTGTACAGTTGCATTTATACACAACTTACTGCTAAGCATGTATACTATATTTATTAAATATAGTTAGTCGTATCGACTAAAAGTGACGTAACTGAGAATACTGTTACTCAACTTCAGGGTCGTTTACAAAGTAATGAGAAGTCTCCCGTATTCCATATAGAGATGCCAGTCCTATGCACATAAAAGAAACGAGTAAATCTATTTCTTTTGTCTTGGTCCTAATATCCTTGCAAATACTTAATCAATATTATTGATCATTCTTTGTAATTAATCGCCCTAATCTTTTTCTGTTCACTTTTTTTTATTAATATCCACTAATCTTTCTCTCTATGCTTTTACTAATCACATCCAATTTTCCAAATATAATCCATCAATATTATGCAACCACTTGTCGAGATGTGATAAATGGTATAGGCTTTTCTGTTACATTTTGACTGGCCTTCACCATTTACAAGTATTCTTTTGATTTTGATTAATTTTCAGTGAGAATAATACTCTGATTTTTCATACAACTGGTTCCCTTGAGGAATTTCGATAAAGAAAGGAAGACGAAATTTGCAGTATAAAATGATGTCATTCTATTTCACAGGTTCTCATCAGCTGCAGACTACCTGAAATTACAATGGTTATATAATTGATAATAACATACTTTAATGTTTGAGTAG